GGGAGCGCAACAACAATAATGGGGGGGGGAAACAACGAAACGGAAAACGAAACGAACACCGGGGAACAGTGCCAGGGCAAGGTGCGTGAATCGGGCGAAGGCTCTCACCCAACGAAACGAAGAACGAAACGAAACGAACAACGAGATGAACGCCCATAACTACGGCTAGGGCTACGGCAGAGGCTGGGGACAAGGCTGGAGGTCAGGCCAGGCGCGCAACAGAACAGCGGGAAAAAGCGAAACGAAACAACATCGAGCCATCGAAAACGAAGAACACAATCACCAACAAAACGAACAACGCAACGAAACATGAAGCAACAATCGAAATTCTTATCAAGCGCAATCAGAACGGCGGCGCGAAACAAAACGGACAACGAAACGAATCGCGGAATGAACGGGGCAAACAAAACGAAAAACGAAACGCAAGCTTGGAAACGCACCAAAACAGAACGAACGACGAAACGCGCGCCCCCAAAAGATGTTTAAATTTCAAACGCGTTTAAAACAAACACGAACAACACAACGGGACCACAACGAAAAACGAAACGAACAACACAAGGGCAAGCACCAAACTAAACAGAGTTGTGTTCGGGCCTTGGGTAACTATATTGTTGTTCCTTCTCCTTCCCTCATGTGTCCTCTTCCTCTTCCTTCTTCTCGCCTTCATTGCCCCGCGAATTCTTCCCCGTCCTCCTCCGATTAGTTTGCGGAGGCTCCTCCTAGGCGAGCTTCTGGAGGACCTCGCGAAAGTTTTTGAGGGGCTCCTTGGGCGCCTCTGGAGACGTCTCTGGCGCCTTTTGGCGGCCTCTTGGTGCAAGAACTCACTTGTTGGAGTCCACGTCGACTTTCACTTTTGATACTTACTTGCATTTACGCAAACATGCACATAGAAAGAGTCGCGCACAGGCGCACTGCTCTAAAAGAGAGGGAGAGAGGGAGCGACCGAGAGAGAGAGAGAGTAAAACAAACAACATAAATAATATATAGAGAGAAGAGACAACAAGAGAAGAGAAAATAAGGTACGATTTCCAGAACCGTTTTCATTATCGCTGTTCTATTCAGTTTTCATATTAGATGTTCCATAGTCTTTCTTTCTCCTCTTCCTCTTACTCGTTCTCGCCCTTTCCTGTGAACCCTTCCCCCCTCCTTCTCAGTTTTTCACGGAGGGTCCTCCCAGAGAGCTCTCTAGAAGGCCTCTCGAAGGCTTCTTGAAGACTTCTTGGGGGGGCCTCTGGAGGCCTCATGGGGCCCTTTCGGGAGCCTCTGGGGACTTCTTGGGCCATCTTGCTGGCAACCACGGTTTCCCACGATGGGATCCTGTCGCGGAGTGCTTCAAGGTTTCCAGAGGCAGCCCACGGCGCGACCCCCCTTTACAAACGAGCGAGGGCCCCTGGAGCCCCGCACACTGAAAAGATCGGGGCGCCAGACGTATGAGGGGTGCGGGGTGCGAAAGCGGGGGAAAGGGTTCCAAGACGCCCGGGGCCGGCCAGGAGGGCTGGAGAGGACACGCTGGAAGGCCAGGAGCGCCTTCTTCAGAAGGCCGCGAGAGGGCGAGCGCCCTCTTATAAGCCACCGCCAATATCCCTTGGACCTGCTCAGGTCACCCACCTTCGCGCTCCGCGCTGCGCGCTGCGCGACGCGCGGCCATCTTCGCGTCCACACGCCAGCCCGCCCTTGAGAAGAGCCACTCGCCGGTCCGGACCGCGCGCTGCGGAGCACCTCTGCCGCCTGCCTCCGCACCCCCCTGGCGTGTGGCCCGCCAGGGACAGAGAAACCATGCCAAACCAACTCTGAACTTTGCAGCTGGGCCGTTCAAGAGGGTGGGGCTCGGGCGAGGCAGCACCGACCGAGGATCGTCCCGCAAGGCATCGGCGATTTGCGCTCATTTTTTTCATGCTAAGCAACGGTGCACTCGCAGCCGTTGAACAAGTTATCATAAATTCACCCACCCAAGATACGGCACCTAGAACAAGAAAATACAACAAAAGCAGAAACTGTCGGAGGTCCACGTGGACTCCTTGGATCTGCGCTACACCCCCCTGGTGGCGCCTCTGGCAACACCACTCCTGGCGCGCTCCGCGCTCCACGGAGGGGGGCCCAGCACCGATCCAAGAAGTCCGCGTATACCTCCGAAAGATTATGTTTGCATCGTTGAACCGATTCCTATCTCCACCGGCGTAGCCTCGGCCCCACTGGCCGACTTACCCACCCAGGTTGGGATACACGCCTGTTCCGTCGGGTTTCGCGGGGCCCACCCCCACCTTGGAGGGTGAGCTAGTGGGGCTGAGACACATTGGCCCAGTAGGTAAGGGGATAGTTTAGACGATGCTGGGGGATGTTGGAGTATCCTTTAACCGATCCCCATCCCCAGCGGCGTGGCCTGGGCCCCACGGGCCGATTTACCCCCCTCAGATGGGAAGGTAGGTCGTTCCCTTCGAGTTTCGAGAGGTGTATCCCCAACTGGGGTGGTGATTTGGTGGGGGTCTCGAAGGGGATGGGGATGGGGATGGGGATTGGTTCTACGATACCGAATGTTGCCATTCGCCCGCGATTGCTTTCTGAGGCCGCGCCAGCAACAGCCCGCCACGGAGCCGCCGCCCCTCAACTCGGAAAACTGGGACGGCACGTCCCTGAAAAGACGCGTGCCGCCTGCGAGAGGACACCAGGAGGAGGCGGAGGAGGCGGAGGAGGAGGAGGAGGAGGAGGAGGAGGAGGAGGAGGAGGGGAGGAGGAAGAGGAGGAGGAGAAGGAGGAGGGAGGAGGAGAAAGAGGAGGAGAAGGAAGAGGAAGAAGAGGAGGAGGGGAGAAGGAGGAAGAGGAGGGAGGAGGAGGAGGAGGAGGAGGAGGAGGAGGAGGAGGAGGAGGAGGAGGAGGAACGACGATAGGTGAGAGAGGCAAGCTAGGTGCGTTCGCGCCACATCTGACATCCTGTCCCTCCCTCCCATCCCTTCCTACTGCGATGATGTTTCTCTCTATCTGCGGACGCGTATCATAGCCGACCTGGAACTCCAATGCCCCAGCAAAGCACCGTAACAGCAGCAAAGGTGACCCGTGGGACCTGTGGGGCAGGTGGGAACTGTGGGATTTGTGCGATCTGCGGGACCTGCGGAACCTGTGAGACTTCTGTTGCCCGTGGGACGTGTGGGACATGTGGGACCTGTGGGGCAGGTCGGAACTGTGGATCTGTGGGAACTGTGGGTCCTGCGGGACTGGTGGGACCTGTGCGACCTGGGGGACCTCCTCTGTGGCCTGTGGGGCCGCAGGGACCTGTGGAACCTGTGGGACCTGTGGGCACTGTGGGACCTGTAGGACCTGTGGGACCTGTGGGACCTGTGTGACCTGTGGGAATTGTGAGACCTGTGAGACCTGCGAGACCTGTGGGACCTGTGCCACCGGCGGAACCTATGGGACCTGTGGAACCTAGGGGACCTGTGTGTGACCTGTGGGACCAGTAGGACCTGTGAGACCTGCGAGACCTGCGACACCTGTGGGATCTGCGGAAGCTGTCAGACCTGTGGTACCTGTGGGACGACCTGCGACACCTGTGGGACCTGTGGGGTATGCAAGACCTGCGAGTCCTGTGGGACCTACGAGACCAGTGGGATCCAGGAAAAGTGGCCCACGCTGGGGGCGAGAGCGCCATTCTGAACGACGGGAGCACAGCATCAATCCGAAAATGAGGCCCACGCTACAGCGAGAGCACCATGTCATGATGGCCGCAACCGTACCCGATTCCGGCCAACCAGTACTGGCTCGTAGCGTACCGCGCCAACCGCCCACGACGATACAATACCGGCCACCGCTGCAGTACTGGACGATACCGTGCCAGCCACCGCTACCGCACTGGACGACACCGTACTGGCCGCGGCGTATCCGCACCGCGCCGACTGGCCGTAGCCGATCGGCGGCAGGGGCAGAGATCAACCTTGAACGCCTCGTCGACCAGCAGGTGAAGCGGGAGGAGCAAGAGAACCCCCCATGCTTCCACCCTCCCCCCTCCTGCCGCTTCCTCTCTGCGCTTCTTCCCCTCCTCCCTCCTCCCCCCCTCCCTCTACAGTTACACAATATGAGTACTACTCTCCTCTCTCCCCTGATAACGTCGGGAAGATATCTGGCCCAACTCCGCGTACTTTTTTCCCACACTGGATTCCCGGGAAACGGGTTTCCGCCTGGGTTTTTTGTCAATATGTTGCTCCCGCTGAAGCGCTGGCCTCATTTTCGCGCTTCCGCGTGTTCCGAATCGGGCTCCCGCTGCAGCGCTGGCCTCATTTCCGCGCTTCCGCGTGTTCCGAATCGTGCTCCCGCTGCAGCGCTGGCCTTCCTTCCAAATAGGCCCAAAATCTAAAAACATCGGAAGTGATTACACATTCGGTGTGGATTCGTTGAATTTTGGGGCCGCAAAGCCCCTCCCCCAACTCGGGGAAGTCGTCGTTTTCAGGAACTATCAAGCGGGAGCCCCGTTTCTGCTTTGAAAGGCGATGTTGGAAGCAGAGCCAGCGGGTGCCCTCCATCAGCCCCGCCTTGTGTGGAGCTTTTCGGTGAGCCCAAGGAGCTCGACATGGAGCCACGACTCCAGACCGCCACAGACCTCGCGAAGACGATCCTCCAAAAAACCTGGCGTCATGCCATGACATGCTGTGCGGTGTTGTGTTCTGCGCCGCTGTGCGATACCATGCTTTGCTTTGCAATGCTTTCTAATGCAATGCTTCACTGCGCAATGTCACGTCATGCTATGGCATGCTACGCTCTGCCGTGCTCTCCTACGCCATGCCACGCCGTGCTCTACCGTGCATCGCGCATCCTCTCGCGATCATTGCCATGCTCGACAGCCGACTGTGCGAATGGAGGGGAGGTCTAAGCCACGGTAAATGATGGGAGGGAGCGGTAGGACGTCAGATATGACGCAAGCGCAACCAGCTTGCCCCCCCCTCCCCTCTTCCCCGCACCTCCGCGGCGCACAGACACCCGCAGCGCAAGCGGCAGGCGGCCGTCCCGCCAGGTCACGACGCCCGCGCCGCCCACTCCTCCGCGCCGGGCGCGGCATGGGAGGAATCCTCAGCCCCGTGCCCCTGCCGCCTGCTTGCCCCTCCCTCGCCTCCTCCGCCCACCCTCCGCCCCCTCCCACCGCCCCCCCTACCCCCCGACACCGCCCCCCTCCTACGCACACATCCCCCGCCCCCATCCCCACTTCCCACGTCCCTCCTCCCTCGCCTCTCCTCGTCTCCCTCCGCCCTCCCCGCTCCCCTCCTCCCTCCCTCCCCCCTCCCTCCCTCATCTCTCCCTCCCTCCTCGCCCCCTCCCCCCCTCCGCCCCGAGAGCAGGCCAATGGGCCAATGGGTTATCCGCCACGGTGCCCTTGAGGCACGAGTTGGAGTGTCCTCAGGTCCTTAGCCTGATCCTTGAGCCTCAGTAAGTCCCGAATCCTGAGGAAGTTCAAGAAATCCAGAACCCGATTTCACAAATCTCTTGGGGCTCCCGGCATGCCCTCTGGGGCCCGTTGCGGCTTCCCGAATGACCCTTTCGGGCCCACGAGGGCCTCAAGACGGGCCAGGCTCAAGACGGGCTAATAGGGCCCCAAGAGGCCAGCCAGACGGTCCACGAGGGCCCCGAATTGCCGCACGATCGGTCCAAGACGCCCAAGCCCCCAAGACGGCCCAAGTTGAAGCCTTCGAGGCGCCCGAAGAGAGCCCCAAGAGCCTTTCCAAGAGGGCCCCGAGAGGCAAACACAACAATGTTTTCCTAGGGTATTTAAAATGTTTTGGGGGCCCTCGATGTTAAGATGTTTCGAGCTTCCGACGCCCCAAGACGGCCCAAGGGGCTCCCAACAGCACCCCAAGACGGGCCAAGGGGCCCCGAAGAGGGCCCCAAGACGGCCCACCAAGAGGACTCCAAGACGGCTCCAAAGGCGCCCAAGGCGGCCCAAGACGGGCCAAAGACAGCACCAAAAAGGACCCACGAAGGGGAACACGAACCGAAAATCCGAGTCTTCCGCACCAAAAGGCCCCTCCCAGGAGGCCTCAAGGAGGCCCCCAGAGGCCCCCAAGAGGCCCCAAGAGACCCCCAAGAGGCCCCAAGAGACCCCCAAGAGGCCCCCAAACGGCCCCCCAAAAGGCATCGAAACAGCCCCCAAGCGGCACCCGAGCGGCCTCCCGCGACATCCCAACGAACATCCTGGAGCCTCATGGCCCACTGACCCAGGCACGTGTGGGCCCAAGGCCGTTCGGTAAACTTGTGGGCTGACACATGCGCCGCCTTCATGAATAATCAATTACCCCCAAGATGGTATCAAGAGAGCCACCATGGCCTCCAAGGAGGCCCCAAGAGGGGCCCAAGAGAGTCACAGAGAGGAGGAGGAGGAGGAGGAGGAGGAGGAGGAGGAGGAGGAGGAGGAGGAGGAGGAGGAGGAGGAGGAGGAGCAGGGAGAGGAGAGGAGAGAGGCAAGATTGGTAAGCTCGTGCCAGATATGAAATTCGATCCCTCCCACCAATCGCTTCCCTTTGCGCTGCTTCGTTATGTATCCGTGGACGCGTGCCTTAGCGAACCCAGAACTCCCCCCCAAAAAAACACTGTGTGATGCGCAATCGGAAACAGGGAGTTGCGCACACAGGTGGAGGGGGAGGAGGAGGAGGAGGAGGAGGAGGAGTAGGAGGGAGACGGGGAGGCGGAGGAGGAGGAGGTGGTGGATGCGCAAGAGGATGAGCCAGAGGGAAAGGAGGTGGATGAGGAAGGAGGAGCAGGACGAGGACGAACAGCAACAGCGGGAAGTGGAGTGGAAGCAGCGGGAGGAACAGGACGACCCGGGGAAGTCCTGGGAGCGAAACGGAGGGGCGACAATTGTGAAAAGACTCGGATGCAGAAAAGAGGTCCACGCTGGCGCGGAAGTGCCATTCTGAACGACGGGAACAAAGCGCCGATCCTAAAATGAGGTGGAAGGTGCAGCGGAAGCAAAATTCTAAGACACCGGAAACGTTCCGAGTGTTAAACACCATAGGACAAACCACATTTTAGAATGCTGTCTAAAAGCATATTCTGGGCATCTTCTAGGCATCTTCTTTGAAATAGGGTCCGAGCATGTTCTGGGCAGAATAAAGGAGAAATGAGAGCCAGGTTCACGAGGTGTCATTGTAGATAGGAGAGGGGGGAGATGAGGCGGAGAGATGGAGATTATGATGGTGATGATGATGATGATGATGATGATGATGATGATGATGATGATGATGATGATGATGATGATGATGATGATGATGATGGTGACGATGATGGTGACGATGATGGTGATGATGGTGGCGATGATGGTGATGCTGAAGATGGTAATGATGATGATGATGATGATGATGATGATGATGATGATGATGATGATGATGGTGATGCTGCTGATGATGATGATGATGATGATGATGATGATGATGATGATGATGATGATCGTTTCGTTTCGTTTCGTTTCGTTTCGAGCTGCCTGCCGGGGTGCCACCAGAGCCCAGCGGCAAGCAAACCTAGGGAGAAAACAAGCCGAAAGATTACCTGAGGGAGCGTCACCCTTCAAGCCAAGCCTCCGCCCCGTCCGACCAAGCGTGCTGGGAGAAGGGTTTGGCGAGCCAATCGAAACCACACATGTACAAAAACCCCGTTCCCATCTCCAAATGCTGACGGCTTTGCGTTGCAACTGGGGTCCCAAGGAAAGAATTGTAGAGGACATCCAAGCACAGTCTCGACACCGCAACACACGGTAGGCGACTGTGTCCGTAGAGGCCAGGCCATGGCTTGGATGTATCCTGCCCAGGCATGAGAGAGACGTCGGCTGGTCTGGGTCCAGGGCTCGATTTCGTGGCGTGTGCACATTTCAGTGACAAGGGCCATGGCAGAAATCATGCACAGTAGGAACCCGTCCACAAGGAACCGTCCCCACGGTATCCTGGAGGCAAGCAGGGCGTTTCTTGGCATGGGCCCTCACTGTGCTCGGCCGCTGCGTCGGCACAAGGTGGGCGAATAACTCGCGTCAAAATCGCGTTGTGGCACTTGGAGATGCGACTGCGGCCAAAGATGGACAGGCGAAGGCTGCCTATGCAATACGTGCAGCCGGGTCGGGCGCACCTGTCTAGCGCCTTGAGGCGCTCGCGCAAGCTGATCTTCTGATTAGTGAGCAGGCTCTTGTGCGCCGCCTAAGTCCGCCACGCCTGTTGGATCCTATTTCCAACCTCTCCCGCGCAAGTACAAACAAAGGCTACGCGCGCGCCGAGGACTTCGATGCCCGCAGCGCGCTCGCGGCAAGGGATCAGCGCGCCTCTCACGCGAACCGTGCCCATATGGGAGGGATAAGTATGGCGCCACTTCAACTCGTCAGCGGGGACCTGCAAGCTGCTTGTTTCCAGGATGCGTAGCCAGGCTTCAGTCAGTTGCTGGGCCATGGAAGCCGAGCGGGCCAATATCCACATTGTCAGCAAAACTTCAAAACTACCTAACACGAAATCGTTTTTCCAAGCATCGTGAAACATTTTGTTCACCCGTTTTCTTTACAAAGAACGTGAAATTTGCGGAGGTCCGCATCCAGAAACACGCGGCAGAGCTCAGAGGCGGCAGGGACTCTGCGGACTCGATCTGGGAGGGAGTTCCCCGGCGAGCGAATGCGGGCGCGGGAGTTACGTGTTTCCCGAATCCAGGGACCAATGGCTACTCTGGACACTCCGTGTTCATCGAGTCTTCTCGCTTGGATGCGATGTTTGATCTTCTAGTAAAACTTCCGAATGCCACCCCCTACAATGACTGAGAGCGGTTCCCGATACTCACAGAGCTTCTCAACCAAGTGGCGCAAACTATATGTGATCTAGCGGTCTTGATACGAGAGTCGGAAGGCAAACTGGCATTCAGACCTGTTCATCTCAAAGACAGGGGGGCACTGGACCTCCAGGACCATCACGGACAGGATTTCAAGAAGGACTGAAACGAGGGCAATCGGACGGAATTCGGCCACTCGGGGGGCCTCTGGTTTTCCTCGAATAAGCTGGGCCACGTGCTCACGCCAGGCCTTGTAAAAGTTCTCGGCGGCGTGGTTTCTCATGCGGAGACGAAGGGCCTCCAGAACCACATTCTGTGCGCCATCCTCAAGTCCCCGGAACAGCTCGGCGACAACCATATCCGATCCCGCGCGCGACTTGCCATGCTTGAGCTTTCCAATGACTGTTTTCAGGAAGGGGCGAGAGAGCGAGAAAGAAAGAGAGAGAGAGATAGAGAGAGAGAGAGAGAGAGAGAGAGAGAGAGAGAGAAAAAAAAAAAAAAAAAAAAAAAAAAAAAACGAAAAATGAAAAACCAGAAAAAGTAAGAAAGAAATAAGCAAAGGAAGAGAAATATATATATATATATATAGAGAGAGAGAGAGAGAGAGAGAGAGAGAGAGAGAGAGAGAGACAGAGAGAGAGAGAGAGAGACAGACAGAGAGAGAGAGAGCAGGACTTCGGCCTGCCAGTCGTCTGCCGACCACTGGCGGTAGATCCACTCGGGCAGGCTCGCGTCGCTCGTCGGGTCGCGGAACAGCTCGGCGTAAAAGTTGCGGGTTGGCTCGCGCCTGGCCTTGGCGGTGGCCGCGCGATGGCCCTCCTCGGCCTTCAGCTCGAAGACTGGCGCGCCAACGCAACGCGGCCTTTCAGCCCGCCCTCGTTCGCGCAGTCGTTCCAGATGGGTGGTCCAGGGCCCAGTATCAGCCACGCAAGGCCTGTCTGGCCTCCGTCTCTGGCGGGCACAATAGGTGGCGCACGCGAAGGTCGGCCCCATGACTGCGCATCTGCTCGAGACGCATCAAGTGGAGCAGCACTGGGCCGCCGGGCGGCGGCCCCCGCCGTCCTCGTCGAGGGGCGCGCCCCGCCGCGGCGGCGCCTGCAGCAATGCCCTCTGCCAGGGCCGAGATCGACGGGGTGCCCTGCCTCTGGTAGCCGGTTCTCGCCATCGGCGGTCCAAACAGGCTGGCCAGGGCCCCCCGCCGACCCCCAGCTCAATCTCGGCGCATCTGCGCTTGCGGGCCGCCGAATGGGTT